TCAGGCATTCTTTTGTTCTTCACTCTACCTTATTGTGATGCTTTTGTGGTGCTATATTGAATTGAAGTAGTAGTGACATTGGTTAAACTACAAAAAAGTCATATATATTCGACATAGAAGTCTTACGATGAGCATAGCGTCTAGTTTCCTCAAGGCAGGAATGTTCATGTGTAGGTCAGTACGTTGGCGTGTGGTCATTATCTGTTCCAATTTAATAATATCATTTGATGTTCCGAAGCTGAAACAGAGCAGATAGACATGTAATGTAACTAGCTAACCTCCATATTGGTTCCATCTTTATTCTTTTGCTGAGATGGGGCAAACTCAACGACGTAGTCTGTCACAGAGAGAAGCCAATCAATCTCTTTTCTCCATCTTGCTCTCCTCTCTGCAGGCATTGGCTCCAATCGTCGTTGCTCTCCAAACACGGAAGCTACGAACAACAACAACATGTAACAATAAGGTTAATGCATGCATATAACATTGTAAGAGACTCCAAAATCCTACCTGCAAGATTTGTGATTGCGTTTGAGAGGGCAAGAGCAGAGGAGACTCCCTTGCCTCCACCAGAATTGTCCTCTCCCAGCAACAACTTGGAGAAACGCTCTTTCATATTCTCAATGTCTGCAAGAAGCTGTTTTTCTCTGGCCTGTGCGGCTGCGAGCGCTGCTTCGTTCGCAGCCGATCTTGAAAGCGAGGGGCCCTTGTTAGGATGGATAATGGTCAACGGTTGATCAACCTCCTGAGATGCGGTGGTGGAAGCCTCATCTAAACCGGTCTCGACGCTGAGGCTCTTGGCGTGTTTGCCTGTATTGTTGTCGTTGTTCCTCCATTTGAAATTGAAGAGCCTGCTCCTATAGCTTTCCTGCTCTTGTTCTGATGCACGAACCATTACACCAGCTGGTTTCTTTGATCGCAGGAAAGAATGAGAGAGGAGAGGAAGGAAAAGAAAGAGAGAGGATGATCAAAAAAAGGGCAAGAGAAACTAATTGAGCGGCAAAACAATTTAGGGGACGATGATGCTAAATTGTTGTTACACTGATTTTGGCAGAGAAATTTGTGGAGCTTCCTCTTTTGGGAGGATGGAACGTGGGGTGCATGTTTTAGTTAATTACAACTAATGATCTTTTTTATAATTAGCGATAGCGAAATGTTTGAATTTAATGATACTTTTCCTATCCATTTCATGCAATGTCAACTAAGAATCTCCATACACATATCTTTCATTCATGAACCCAAATTTGTATGCAGTGACCTTCAGACGTGCAATATTGTCTATAAAATCACCAAGGCTCATTTGTAGTGGGTTGTTTTATTTTGGGATTTTAATGAAATTTTTTTTTGAAGTATTGTTTGATCCATTTAAAACGGTTAACTAAATTTTTAATGTAAAATCCCCGCAACTAAATATTTTAATGAAAAAATCCTCAATTAAAAATTAATGTAAAATTTTTCAAGTAAAATTTCGATAATAAAAAAACTCCATAATTCGATAGTACTGTCAAAATAATAATAAAAACTGCCATTAAATCGATACTCTGCACGCATTGATTGATT